TGTAGAGGGTGAGCACTTTGTCGAGACAGTCCTTCTGGTCCAGTTTGCAAGCCCAGTTCACAGCTATCATCCTCTTCTTTTGCTCTAAGTAAGGATCATCTATCTTGTCATCGAACCCGACAGCTTCATAGAACGGTAACACTAAATCCAGGAGGTAGCTCTGTGTGTAAATATATGCAGCATATATATATATATATATATATATATATATATATATATATATATATATATATATATATATATATATATATTTATATATATATATATATATATATATATATATATATATATATATATATATATATATATATGTACATATATATATATATATATATATATATATATATATATATATATATATATATATATATGTTTGTATGTGTGTGTGTGTGATATATATACATATTTATATTTATATATATTATATATATATATATATATATATATGTGTATATATATATGTATGTATATATACACATATACATAAACGTGTGTGTGTGTGTGTGTGTGTGTGTGTGTGTGTGTGTGTGTGTGTGTGTGTGTGTGTGTGTGTGTGTGTGTGTGTGTGTGTGTGTGTGTGTGTGCGTGCGTGTGCGTGCGCGTGTGGGTGTTGGAGTTTGTGCGGGTGCACACACACACACATATGTATATATGTATATATATGCATGTATGTATGTGTGTGTGTAAATATACATACATACATGCATGCATTCATACATACATACATACATACATACATACATATACATACACATACATATACATATATATAAATATATATATACGTATCTATACATATCCATATACACTTATGCTGTTTGTGTGTGTGTTCTGATTACCTTTTCCCCCATATCTCGAATTTATTGACATCGTTCTTTTGAAATTTTCGTACAGCGTCAAAAATTCCTTTTTTTCGATATCACTGTTTTACTTTCTTTGTACGAATTGCGACCCACCTTAAGAGCGCCAAATCCGGGTTTACTTTGGAACATCCTCTTTATGTAGCCGAGTGTGTCGACGCTTGTAGCCCAAGGCAGATATTCACCTTCATTTCGTAGATAGGCATATACACCGATGGCGATCTTGTAGCTGAGGTGACCTAGAAGTTAACATATTTATAAATTTCTCTGACACCATTAATACAACAAAGAATAGCTATGCTGAAGTATTTGTAAAAAACTTTTAAATCATAGAAATGGTTTAGTTGATTTGATAGTACCTACGTACAATTTATATCTGTGGATCACAGCTGTAGTCTGCCGAGCTTATTTTAAGTAATGTAAGCAAGGCAGTGGTTTCGAACCCTCGACATCCATGAACATAAAGAAAACTTTTCATGCTTACTTTCGAAAAGAAGAGGTAAAACATAAATACGTACCTGCTTTAGCAAGGTTCATAGCGTCATCGATTATCTGCGCCCTGTTGATGGGGCAAATAACTCGATGGTCTTTCTTCAACTGCTGGATAATAAGATTCCAGTTGTGGTCGTCGTAGTTGACTCTGTAGTAGCCCGTCTCCTGCAGGTTGAAGATGACCCACTGGTCCTTCGGGGGAAGGGATGAGACGGTGATGTGATACTCAGAGTCCTTCATCCATAGACTGGCTTGAGTCTGGTTGAAGTTGGCCTCACTCTGGGTCGTGTAAGTCAGCGGCACCCACCACTTGTAATCCGTGGTGTCGGAAGAGTTTGCGCTCCTTTCTAAGAGGAACCGTTCCTGAGAATAAGAGTAACATATTGGTTAAACGAATGCTGAATGATTTGTTTTCAGAATATATTTTCATTCTTTCCACAAAATAAGCACAAGCTCACCTGTGTCAAAATGGCAGAGAATCCGTCTGGGCTCCTTATCACCTTGATGACGGGGTAGCCCATCTGCAGTGTCCACGTGTCCATGATCATCTTCACAGTCACGTCCTGAGGTAGAATGCCATCCTGGTGGGCCACCATTGTCATGCAAGTCCATAAGTTATCTTGCACGGCATTCTTGTACTTGCTGAAGGAATTTGTTATAGAATTTAATGAAAAGAAGAAAGTAAATGTGACCTAGAACATAAACAAAATTATCTAAATACGTCGATTACCACACTAATTATTTTTTTTATGTCAGAGAGAACGCTTTCATTATGTAGCATATTTACAATAAGTTTAGGTAGTTGTTCAAGCCCTTCCTAAACGCTCCCTCGGTGAGGTAATGGGCCATCATTCGGATGATAGATGCTCCTGGTATATAGTAGAAATAACGTTAAATATTTACTCCCATGCATGAAAAGACATATGAAAAACAAAACACCGAAGAAAAGGGAAAAGGGGTGAAGGAAAAATTCTGACCTTTGTGATAGGATATGGCATCAAAGACTTCGGCGATTTCGTCTGGGTGACCAACGGGAATGCTGATCTTGTGTGAGGACTCCAGGCTGTCAGGACCGAACACACCATGGAGTCTTTTTATGATGGTTGTTTCCATTATTTTCCAAGTTGGCTGTGCCTATTGAATATAGGAAAACAAATGTTATGTGATACACACGATAATCTGAATGTTACAAATGGCATCACTTAAGGTATGGCACCAACAATTGGACATCAAATCACTTACATGATTCATTCCAAGTAAACTTATGTAGGATGCAAATCCCTCGTTGAGCCAGATGTCGTCCCACCATACAGGTGTAACAAGATCACCGAACCACTGATGAGCCAATTCGTGTGATATTATCTCCGTAACACCCATCTTCGCATCTAGGGTTGATACTTCCCGGTTGTACAGGAGGAACGTTTCTCTGGTTAAATTGATATGCAAATTAATGATAATACTTCAGCCACTACGACTATGAATTGAGTGAGGCATTTTCTATGCTATTATGCTTATCTTATACCTATCGCAAATTGATATAGAACCAGTCCTACAGTACAGTAGTTCTGTAAGAGTCGCCTATAAATGAGATTTCATATCAAAAACTAATTAGGAATTCCTCTGATACTTGGTAAAGTAGTGAAGCTGGCATTTGTCAGCAAATACCCGTGAGAAAGTGGAGGAAATTCAACCTGTCTGAACAAACACCTCTTTTATAGTAAAAGATTTATGCAATAAAATGTCCTATGATTATATGGAAAACTAAGTGAGTCGGTGCCCAAACACATCTAGTAGGTCCTGAAAAACAAAGGAAACATAACTTTATATAAATGTTTTATATATCATAGACACTGCGTTCTATGCTCTGCATAAGGTAGTCCGTAGTTGATTTACGGTAGCTGCATATTGCTTTTTTGCTTTGGACAATAAAGAAAATAAAGATAGCTGTGCTATCAGTGAAATAGAAATGGGTATGGTTCAATTTCTGGCGTTTTGCCACCTAAGTTGGTTTCATGGATCTAATACTGTACCATCAGTTAGATGGCAGAATATTTAGCTTTTTTCGTTAACAATTTGACTTATTTCTTGTTATCCGAAATTATGGAAAAGGTACAGCACAGATAAAAGATAATAGTAATAATAAAAAGTCTCTATAGCTTCATTAAACAGTAATTATTTGGCTGTCGACATGCTAACTTTTCATCTCTAATTGAATTAAATGCATTCTCATACTGCACAGATAAACTTGGCTAGCTAATCTGTATACAAAGGTCTTATTTACTTTATTTCGGATTAGGCAAATTACATGCAATGAAGTTTGTTTTCTCTTTTGGCTATACTGAGAACCAAGGGTACGTTTTTTTTCACATAAATGGATTTTTTTCTCCAATGAAAGATAATGCAAATAAGATTATTACAAATAAAATGGTTACAACTATTCAGTCATAAAAAATGAAGGTTGTTTATCCTTAAATATGCGTGGGCGCATTCCTTCAAGTGCATTCAAGTGCATTCGACTGCTATGGAAAAAAATGTTCTTTCCTCGGTGACCATTACTTACAGTGCCTTCCCTCTACCACTCCCTCACCATGCCTTCCCTCCACCACTTCCTCACTCTGCCTTCCCTCCACCACTCCCTCACCCTGCCTTCCCTCCACCACTCCCTCACCCTGCCTTCCCTCCACCACTCCCTCACTCTGCCTTCCCTCCACCACTTCCTCACTCTGCCTTCCCTCCACCACTTCCTCACCCTGCCTTCCCTCCACCACTCCTTCACCATGCCTTCCCTCCACCACTCCCTCACCCTGCCTTCCCTCCACCACTCCCTCACTCTGCTTTCCCTCCACCACTCCCTCACCATGCCTTCCCTCCTCCACTCCCTCACCCTGCCTTCCCTCCACCACTCCCTCACCCTGCCTTCCCTCCACCACTCCCTCACTCTGCCTTCCCTCCACCACTCCCTCACTCTGCCTTCCCTCCACCACTCCCTCATTCTGCCTTCCCTCCATCACTCCCTCACCCTGCCTTCCCTCCACCACTCCCTCACTCTGCCTTCCCTCCACCACTCCCTCATTCTGCCTTCCCTCCACCACTCCCTCACTCTGCCTTCCCTCCACCACTCCCTCATTCTGTCTTCCCTCCACCACTTCCTCACTCTGCCTTCCCTCCACCACTCCCTCATTCTGCCTTCCCTCCACCACTCCCTCATTCTGCCTTCCCTCCATCACTCCCTCATTCTGCCTTCCCTCCACCACTCCCTCACTCTGCCTTCCCTCCACCACTCCCTCATTCTGTCTTCCCTCCACCACTTCCTCACTCTGCCTTCCCTCCACCACTCCCTCATTCTGCCTTCCCTCCACCACTCCCTCACTCTGCCTTCCCTCCACCACTCCCTCATTCTGCCTTCCCTCCACCACTCCCTCACTCTGCCTTCCCTCCACCACTCCCTCATTCTGCCTTCCCTCCACCACTCCCTCACTCTGCCTTCCCTCCACCACTCCCTCATTCTGTCTTCCCTCCACCACTTCCTCACTCTGCCTTCCCTCCACCACTCCCTCATTCTGCCTTCCCTCCACCACTCCCTCACTCTGCCTTCCCTCCACCACTCCCTCATTCTGCCTTCCCTCCACCACTTCCTCACTCTGCCTTCCCTCCACCAGTCCCTCACCATGCCTTCCCTCCACCACTCCCTCACTCTGCCTTCCCTCCACCACTCCCTCACCCTGCCTTCCCTCCACCACTCCCTCACCATGCCTTCCCTCCACCACTCCCTCACTCCCTCACCATGCATTCCCTCCACCACTCCCTCACCATGCCTTCCCTCCACCACTCCCTCACTCTGCCTTCCCTCCACCACTCCCTCACTCTGCCTTCCCTCCACCACTCCCTCACCATGCCTTCCTTCCACCACTCCCTCACCATGCCTTCCCTCCACCACTCCCTCACCATGCCTTCCTTCCACCACTCCCTCACTCTGCCTTCCCTCCACCACTCCCTCACCCTGCCTTCCCTCCACCACTCCCTCACTCCTTCACCATGCATTCCCTCCACCACTCCCTCACTCCCTCACCATGCATTCCCTCCACCACTCCCTCACCCTGCCTTCCCTCCACCACTCCCTCACTCCTTCACCATGCATTACCTCCACCACTCCCTCACTCCCTCACCATGCATTCCCTCCACCACTCCCTCACCCTGCCTTCCCTCCACCACTCCCTCACTCTACCTTCCCTCCACCACTCCCTCACTCTGCCTTCCCTCCACCACTCCCTCACCATGCCTTCCCTCCACCACTCCCTCACCATGCCTTCCCTCCACCACTCCCTCACCATGCCTTCCCTCCACCACTCCCTCACCATGCCTTCCCTCCACCACTCCCTCACCATGCCTTCCCTCCACCACTCCCTCACCATGCCTTCCCTCCACCACTCCCTCACCATGCCTTCCCTCCACCACTCCCTCACCATGCCTTCCCTCCACCACTCCCTCACCATGCCTTCCCTCCACCACTCCCTCACTCTGCCTTCCCTCCACCACTCCCTCACCATGCCTTTCCTCCACCACTCCCTCACTCTGCCTTCCCTCCACCACTTCCTCGCCATGCCTTCCCTCCACCACTCCCTCACCATGCCTTCCCTCCACCACTCCCTCACCCTGACTTCCCTCCATCACTCCCTCACCCCGCCATTCCCCACCACATCATCACTCACTCATTATGATATTACACAACCACTCCTGTTAATTCATTACACCGCCACGCTTTTGCCACATAATCAGTCTGCCATTCCTCCACCATACTATCACCCTAGCATTCCCTTCTACGCCAACACCGTCACACCTCCACCACACCAGCGCCTGCCATCCTTCTACCAAATCTCCACCCTACCATCTCTCTAGCACAGAATCTCTCTACCTCATTATTATTCTGCCGTTCGTTTGTCATACCATTTTGTCATGATGCCATCCTTGCAACTCCATGCTACCCTCTTCATCCCCCCTACCAACAGGCTTTCAATGAAATACAGCAGTGATTGAAAGGGTTATTGATTACTAATCGATTACGTTCCTGCAAGTCATCTGGTATTGTTGAAAGTTGCTTGTATTACCCACTAATACTCTGAAGAGACGGTAGAAAATAAAGAGGTTGGAGATTACCTGAACTCTCATAGGGCGTACACGTTGAGAATCTGTGCACAGACATTGTCAAACAGGAGAGAGGCACTGTGAGGTTCTTGCAAGATAATGCAAATGTATGAGTAATAGACAGGTTTGGCCTTAGAACAGTAACGTATCTAGAATGGCTATGATTTAAGTTTTAAGTTAACAGAAATTATTCTATGCCCACCAGATGCAAAATGTCCAAATTTCATGGATAAACAACTTGGTGACAAAACAAAACATTCTTACAACTATACTTGTTTAACTATACTTACTTGTAAGTCAAGAGACCCCAGTTCTCCATGCCTCTTGCAGAGAAGTCGGTTAAAGCAACCATGTCTATCTTCGGGAGGGGGAAAGGCAGATTGAAATATTCTTCTAAGTAATTCAAGATCTTGGGGCCGACCTCCATCGCGTACTCTGACTGATCTATCGCTGCTTGTCGTGCCCACACTGCCAGAGATATTTTTGGGGTTGATATATTAAGAAGGTTCCTTTCATGGAATAACAACTTGGTGACAAAACAAAACATTCTTACAACTATACTTGTTTAACTATACTTACTTGTAAGTCAAGAGACCCCAGTTCTCCATGCCTCTTGCAGAGAAGTCGGTTAAAGCAACCATGTCTATCTTCGGGAGGGGGAAAGGCAGATTGAAATATTCTTCTAAGTAATTCAAGATCTTGGGGCCGACCTCCATCGCGTACTCTGACTGATCTATCGCTGCTTGTCGTGCCCACACTGCCAGAGATATTTTTGGGGTTGATATATTAAGAAGGTTCTCCCCTAATCATAGATATAAACAGTAAAACCCTGATTTACTTGGAATATGAAATCATGTCCAAGGTTACATATTAAGATGACTAGTTATTACAGTACTTATTAGTCAATGCATATATTAGAGTACTATATATATTTTTTCAGACGATCAGCAAAAATAAAGAGGTTCTCAAATTGGAATAAATGCGAGAAGGAAGAGCTCTGTGTCTCTCTATCAGTCGCTCAAGAAAAATATTAATGTTTAGTCTTTTCGAGGAGTTCCGTTATTACCTCGAAATAATACGTTGCCTTTCACTATGGTCCTGGCGTGAGCGAAGTCCGACACGATGAAGGCGACGAGGTAGGTGGACATGGGGACGCTCTTCTCATATCGGTCCCACACCCAGCCCTCTTGTCCGATGCTGTTTGTTTAGAAATTTGGTTTCCATTAAAAAGCATACTGGTGAAGTGGATATTATATATCACAAAGCAGAGATTACATGTTCAATAATACAGATTATACCTCCAACCTACTCACACAGGCAGAGTTTCGGCGATGGGCATGTTGGAGAGGCTCGTCATCCAAGATTCCCTTGCGAGGTGAATTTCAAAGGTTGCCTTCAGTGCGGGCTCATCGAAGCAAGGAAAGGCTTTACGGGCGTCGGTGGGCTGGAACTGTGTCACAGCCACGTTCCTGGAATGGGTTTATGGTATCAATACACAAATATGCTTAACCATGTTATAGACTAAACCACTGGGTAAGCAATGAGATAGTGACCTTGTGTGGCCGTCAACATCCTTGTAGGTCGATCTGTAGAAGCCGTGCAGCTTATCATTGATATAGCCAAGATACTCCATGGAGAGCACGTATTTTCTCCCCTTCTGTAGCTCTCTCGTCAAATGGAGGATATAAAACTGACGATCATGATCGTACTCGTGCTTCTTGATCCACAGATCTCGGCCTGGCGTTTGGCCCACAGTGGACAACTGAATCAGAAGAGGAGACGCCATCATTTCCTTACTGGATCAAGTTCAAATGTGATATATTTGCATCATGTGTTCAATATTGCCAAGTAGCAATTGACGTAAATACCTACCATTACTGTGTCATTTTTAGTGATGATGTCGGCCATGTGGAGCGTGATTTTGGAGGTCGGTTCCAGCACCTCCATCTCCACCTCCATGTAGCCGAAGATGCTAAAGTTGCCATTGATAAAGGGTTGGAGTTTGACCAGGTAATGGAGTGGTTTCAAGGAGCTAGGCAATCGTATGCCCAAGTCATCAGCTTTCTCTCTTGTAGTTACCGGTACACTGGTCTGTTATCAATGGATATTGGATGAAAAGATGCATTTCACAAAGCAAAGTGAAAGTAAAAAAAAATACTAAGATTATCATGTACAACTCTAAATAATGATCAAGACAGCAGTACTCGCCGGTTCTACCACTGTATATGCTGAGAGGAATTACTTTCACCTAGATTAACCCTTTGGAGAAGCAGTGAGAGATATTCTAAACACCTACATAGGAATAAGGTCTGTGGATAAAGAGTAAAATTCGTCTCTATCTATAACATCTCCATATATATACATATATGTATATATGTGAATGTATACACATATGCATATATGTGTATGTATAAATATATATATGCAAACGCACATAGATATATATACATCTCCATATATATACATATATGTATATATGTGAATGTATACACATATGCATATATGTGTATGTATAAATATATATATGCAAACGCACATAGATATATATACATCTCCATATATATACATATATGTATATATGTGAATGTATACACATATGCATATATGTGTATGTATAAATATATATATGCAAACGCACATAGATATATATACATCTCCATATATATACATATATGTATATATGTGAATGTATACACATATGCATATATGTGTATGTATAAATATATATATGCAAACGCACATAGATATATATACATCTCCATATATATACATATATGTATATATGTGAATGTATACACATATGCATATATGTGTATGTATAAATATATATATGCAAACGCACATATCATTATACTTTGAAAACTTTTGAATGCCGCATCACACACACACACACACACACACACACACACACACACACACACACACACACACACACACACACACACACACACACACACACACACACACACATATAAATACATACATACATACATACATATATATATATATATATATATATATATATATATATATATATATATATATACATATATATATATATATATTTACAGACACAAATACGTCTATTTATGTGCATAGTTATATATATATATACACATACACACACATATACACATATGTGTATGTATAAATATATATATGCAAACGCACATAGATATATATACATCTCCATATATATACATATATGTATATATGTGAATGTATACACATATGCATATATGTGTATGTATACACATATATGTATAGATGTGTATGTATACACATATATGTACATGAATATAACGATTGTCATATATGCATCAGAGCCATACATGAGAACACTCACATGAACTGTTTGAAACAAACCGGGCTCCCCTCATGGGCATAGCCCGGACGAGGCTCTGCCTCGCAAATCAGACAAAAAAAAAAAAAAAAAAAAAAAAAAAAAAAAAAAAAAAAAAAAAAACCTGTTTGAATTTGTTTGAATGTGAGTCATGTGTACCACAGTATGTGAACATAACTTTACTATAATACTGAAGCTGTATTCAAATACCCAGATGAGTGGAGGGATTTACACCTAAAATATTGTACTTACTATTGCTGGCTGACTTTCTGTAGATACCCAAGGTGGGACAGTGATCGCATCAACATTAGGTAACCCTAGGGTACTGCGACTTAGAACGAGTAGAACAAACAGCAGCATCCTTTCGATACGCATGAGGCGCTTGGCGGATGAGACAGAGCAACGCACGCTGGAGGTTGCAAATGCCCTTCACTAGTGTGTCCCTGTCGAGATGAGGTACCACTTGATCAGCATCGATTTTACAAATCAAATCTTTATATGTATAATCGAGGGCAAATTAAAATAACAGCTTAACGAGTATCCCTTATATAATGTCTTTGTACTATGAGGTTCAGAAGAATTGTTACTGCTGTGCTGCTGCTAGCAGGCAGGACATGTGATTATGTACAATGATACTATATTAGCTCTTAAATAGCGCATTGTGAAGGTTGGTACAAAAATCTTACCAATGAAATTCAGTGTAAACATAATAACTGAACCAAGGTCATTCATGTAATAATCTTCTCCAATAGCTGTTCTACTTCACATAATAATATATCTTTTAAATGGTAGACATGTTTATAATATATATTGTTGTATAATTATTCTCCAAGTGGACCAGGACAATGTTCTTAGACAAATGTTTTTCAACATTTGCACGGACTGGATAATCACCCAAAGTCGATGTGAAGTAACACTGAACAGTGGCAGGGCTATTGTCTTGTTGTTTATCGCTAGTGCGTTTGTTGATATTACAGAGACAAGGCTAAACCGTCCATCTCGGTTTGACGGCGGTATAATTCCCTTAAAGCCCAGGATGAGGTCTCTTGGTCAAACAGTGTTTCTACCGCTGTATTTAGTCTGTTAAGGCCGTGCTGATTTCAGAGTATCCAAATTGTATATACAGCCGTGATTAGTCCATTAAGGCTTATCGTCAGCGGAAGACAAGATTGGAGAGAATGTTAATGTCAAGGGTTAAATATTAATCCTGTTCTAGTGTCATGTTACGCAACTTCCTGAAAATACTTATGTCCAGTGGACTGAGGACTGTATTTTTCACAAGAAAACTATGCACATAAATAAAGTCCTATTGTAGTTGATGGTAACAGTCTTCCTTGTGCGACGAAGAACTTCATATGGAACTTCCTATAGCGGCTGTAGTGGAGTCAGATGGAATCACATCCCTGAGCTTGGCTGCATAATTCTGAATAGAGTTGGCAATGAAGCTATTGGAACTGCAGAGTAATTCACCTGGTAGCTGGACTAATGTTCCATATACACGCTCTGCATAAATGGAGCCAAGGTCTAATTTAAGAGACCTCCTGGTGCCTAAATGCACAAGAGGGAGAGAGGTAGTCCAATCTTCATGTTGATGAGCCATGAAAGCGTTCGACGAGACCGTTTGCCTGAGGAGAGTAACTGGAAGTGTGATAACGTTAAATTCCAAGCAAAGTCAAGTTTGCGGCTCAAACTGACTTCCCCTGTCTGATGTTAAATTGGTACTCCAAATCTTGATACCCAACCAGCAATAAAGACTCGTGCTACAGTATCAGCATGAATGTCATAAGCAATCCAGCCATCTAGTAAATCTGTCAATGCAGGTGATGTACCTGTATCCATTGGGGTAGGACAGGGGACCAATAAGATCAACATGAAAACTAAAGGAGAAACTCTATGGCGAATAACTTTGGAAGTTGACACTTAATGCAAGAATGTGTCCAGTTTCTTACATCCTTGTTGATACCAGTTCAGATGAATCTTGAGGTTAGAAGATGCTGTGATGCGCACACACCAGGTTGGGAGATGTCATGGAGTTGCTAATGTGGTTAGTCAATATTTCTGAGGTAGATATGGTGTCTGTAGAAACAGCATACAGGTCTACATCTCTTCCATGAACTTTAATTTTCTTCTATTGAAAAGCAGGATTATCCATCCATAAGTTGCTGCAGCTCAGCATCAGTGGCTTGGTCTGCGGCAGTTGTTGTATAATCGATGATGGAAGAATTGACAGCAGAGACATTGAAAGACAGGGCTTCAGCTGGAGTATTATCTTGGCTTTTGATATACCGGATGTCTGCAGTGAACTGCAAAATGTAGTCAATATGACGAATTTGTCAAGTAGTGTAGGTGTTGAAGATAATAGAGAGTGGCTTGTGGTCGGTGAAGATGTGGAGTGTCTTGCTTTCTACTAAATGTCGGAAATGTTTGATCACTTTATAAACAGCTAAAAATTCTCAATCAAATGTGCTATAGTTCAGTTCAGCATCATTTAGTTTCTGAGAAAAAGACTAAAGGTTTCCATCCACCTTCCACATTTTGTTGCAGAACAGCTCCAGTGCCAGTGTTGGAGACATCAGTAGTGATTGACGCTGGGGCATCTTTACTGAGAAGGCAGAGTGTAGTTATTGCACTAATGACTTACTTAGCAATATCATAGGCAATATCTGCTTCAGTAGTCCAGACAAGATCAACTAATTGACCTCTCGTGCATGGTCTCATTATGGAATACAGAGGTTAGAGAAGTAGAACACTTCGAAATGAATCTGTTGTAGTAGTTAAACGTCCCTAGGAATTCTTTCAGCTGGCGCTGTGTAGTTGGCTTTGTAAACTGTTGAATGGCCTCATATTTGGCAGGAAGTGGAGTGATACCTGCTGCAGAAACTGTGTGGCCGAGAAAAACTCTTGTCTACATTAATTTGGATACCATAATCATTCCGACATTTGAAGACGTGCATTAGATGATCTTGTTCAGCAGTATCCTTACTGGCGTTGGGATCATCAGGATAAGCAAAGACAAATAGTAGTCCTTATAAAACTTCAATGAAATGCTGGAATGTCTGTGCAGAATTCTTCAGTCCAAAAGGCATTCGGACATATTCATACAAGCTAAATGGGGGGATAATCGCTGTGTTTGGAATGTCTGAAGGGTTGACTGGTATTTGGTGGAATGCTTTAATGCTCAATCGATAGCCAAAACATCTGGAGGAAGGAGAGATGTTGCATAAATAAACTTGACACTTTTGCTGATGCGTCGCGCTTTAAAGCGACAACCGAGGATGGAAGGGTCATGACTGCAGGAAGTCGGTGCTCGGAATGAATTAATAGATGTAATGTCATCTTTCGTATTGCTAGAGGTAGCAACGTCGCTTCTGGTTTCCTCGCCGGGTATCCTGAGACACAAGTGGCACAAACATATGAAAATCACTGAAGGGTGGTAATTAACAGATCACCAGGCACTACACAACTCTGGGGTCAACAATTTGTTGTCTTGTTTATCTTTACTGCGTTTGTTATTATAGAGACGTGGCTAAACCGTCTATGTCGGTTTGACGGCGGTATAGTCCCTTAAAGCCCAAGATAGGTCTCGTGGCCAAACAGTATATCTACCGCCGTCTTTTGCCCGTTAAGGCCGTGTAACCAAACTGTATAAACTGCCGTGATTAGTTCGTTAACCCAATGGTGCCGGGGAAATTGAACAAAAAATTGGGAAAATATTGTGCCCACTTTCTATGTTTTTCGTGAAATGTCTGCTGATAGATGGCTCTGCTAGCGCCTGATTTAAATGGCGGGAAAAACGTATTTTTCACTAGTGCTATGAAAATCGATGGTGTTATTTTTATCATAAACATTATAATTTTTATAATTTTTTTTAACATTAGTAACAGCAAAATAAGATTACATAAAATATTTTGTAAATCAAAGAAACGGGTAAACGGGCGAGACGGGCGGTGCTCGTAACTGGCTCATTGGGGAGTTAGTACAAGTGTTGCCATCTATGCGTAAAAACAATCAAACAAGTACTCACTGTGGGCATAGCACGTACGTACACGTCATACCCGGCACCAAGGGGTTAAGGCTTATCGTCAGCGGACGACAAGACTAAAAAGGATAATGTATAATATCAAGGGTTGAATATTAATCCCGTTCTAATGTCTTATGTTATTCAATTTCCTGAGAATACGTATGTATATTAGACTGAGGACTGTATTTTGACTACATAACTAGGCAAATAAACATTTGTCAGGTAAATATTAAAAGATGACATATTTTACAAATTTCACATATCAATAGTATTTACTGTATGAAAAAGAAATAAAAGCAAACCAGAAATGGGGAGACTAAGATATAACTACATTCCAGGGGTGACTACGAACGGATCACAATTAATATTGTTATTATCATAATTATACATACATGTATGTGTGTGTGTATATAAACATATATATATAAATGTATGTATGTCTATTTTGATTGATGTGTATGTCTGTGTTTTATCTGTATCTATATTTTCAATAAAATCAATAAATGAAAGCTACATTCTCGCTACTGTCACCTTCCCAGCTCACCTGCTGAACGACGTCCTTCCGAGGCGAGATGCGAGCCGGACTGCGGCCGGGACCTGTCTGAGGCCGAGGCTTGGACGCAGGGGAAGGATGCGAATATTGTAAGTGAGTGCGGGTGGAGAGGTGAGAGAGAGGGGCAGGGGGAAGGGGAAAGTACGAGTCAACAGCCGGCCGGTCAAACCCTGAGCCGGATTACCAGGTTATTGAATGTGATAGTTTTGCCAGAATACGTGAATCTACTTTATCCATGGTCAGTCAGTCTGTCTCTCAGTCTGTCTGTTTATTTGTCTGTCTATTAATTTATCTATCGATCTGCTCATCTACCTAGCAATATGCTTGTCCCTCTGAGCGATTTTGTGTAGGTTTAAACACCAATACGCAGATGTATACTCACGCAAGTACACAGGTTCTGTCAGTCAGTATATGAATAAAGCTATCTATATTTCTGTTAAAATATCTATCTATCTAGCTGCTTGGCTAATGAAGCACGCACGCACGCACACACACACACACACACACACACACACACACACACACACACACACACACACACACACACACACATACACACACACATACACACATATACATATATATGTATATATGTTTACATATATGTATATATATATATTTAATATATATTATATACATATATTATATACATATATTATATATATATATATATATATATATATATATATATATATATATATATATATATATATATATATACATATATGTGCTTGAGAGTGTGTGCGTGTGTGTAATGTAATGTGCCACAAACATCGCCTGACCCCGCTGGGAGAGGATTTCCCCAAGGGTCTCCGTCCTGCTACAACAAAACGAGTATTTCTCGATCCCGGAAGCTTTGGAGTCTGGAGACTTGTTTTGGAATCTATCTTTGTTACACGAAAATTGATCCAAACTTCAAGATTAAAATTGTAAAATTTTGTTACACATATTTTTAATAAAGAATTATTTTATCGGAATGCATTTTACATTGCAGGATAGGAAGGTCGGGTAATTTCGAATCCACAGTTAAATCGAGCATCTCACCGGAATATTGATTTAATGAAACGGAATTTAAAAAAAAAATAATGATAATATTCCTCTTTCTCCATCTAAGCTCCATCAGTTTCTTTCTTTTCATGCAACCTTTCTTTCTTTCCTCTTGTTATGGACAGAATATTAAAAAGCCTCTCTCGGAGAAGATCTATGTCAACACCCGATCCAACTTTGCTCGGGATGGGGGGGGAGGGCTTACCGTTACGCCTTGCAACGGTATTGGGCATGTATGCGCCAATTTATTTAGCCTTGCCCAACCACATGTAGGCGTACCCACTCACACATGTATAAATAGGTAAATAAATACGAATACATACGTACATACACATATGTGTGTGTGTTAACTAATGAACCTCGGGACCAGTGTTAACAGAAACTTTGTTACTTTTTTTTCTTTAATTTTCAAAAATGTGCAACACCCATCTACAGTGTGGAAAAATAACTCTAAAGACATTATCCTTCAGTTTATTATGTATGTGTATTTTCAGAAATAGTTACATACAGATAGCTCAACGTCTGCTCAGCAGCAAGGAGTCTGTCAGTAGGTCCTAGTGACCGATCCTGATTTCCCCATTCCTTGAAATGGCGGGATTTTTTTTTTTTTTTTTGTGCAATTCATATCAATACTGTTATTATTGTTAGTGATGTTATGATTATTAAATTATCACGGTAACATTTAAGACAATGAAATAATACAAAAGAAAAAAATCTTTTCCAAAAGTCAAGGAAAATGATAAACAAGTGACACAGGTAGGACTAATAACTGACTCCTTGGTGATTGAGCACTTGTAAGCCATCTATATGTAAAGATAATAAATAAACTTACATTACAGTGGATATGCCATGTATTCTTGCCATCCGCGCTGATTGGGTTAATGCAGTGAATGTCAATTATCAATTAATTTCATCAAAATTCTATAGTAATATGAGACATATGGTTGTCATAAGAGAAAACCTTATAGAGGGAAACATATCAAAGTGGTAATACATGGTTTTACAAAAGAAATTGATACGAAATAGCATATCAATGTGAAATCAAAATACAACAGTCCTAGATACAAAAGTCGGCGGAACAAAACAGTATATTAGATTTACATAACATTACAGTTGGACAATTAAAAGTTTAAACATATGTTGGGACTCTAAATGTACTAATAAATGTATCACGAGATACTGATCATAAAACTTCTAAAAACAGGCAGTCTCGTCAAATGTCTGAGCCTCATGGATGGTGCAAAACATCTTGACATTTGTAAAACAAATACGGAAATACCTATTCAATTTAAAAGAAAATGATAATAATAATAATAATGATAATAATGATCATGGGAAAGTCTGTGAAGGAAAAATATTAATTAAGGTTAGGTTTTAGTATCCAAATCCATCGACTTTCCAGAAAGTTTAAGTCCAGATCAATTTGGGAGTGATCAGGAATGTTATAAATACTATAAGAAAAAGGATGATTTCCTTTCAAAGAATAATTTCTAGTTGAGGAGTTTGTTGGGTTTGAGGATTTGAATCCTTTATATCTGTAAGGCCAGAACCTGTGGTGAACCTCTTAGCGGACACCAGCTCACTCTATTCCCTGCCTCCCATCTCTCATTGAGTCCTTTTGCTGAATTTGTATGTATACATTGATTTTTTTTTTTTTTTTTTTTTTTTTTCCATTACAAATCCAAGGAAAAAACATGAAAACATACTTCACATGCGGGCTGCCATTTTGATATGCAGTGTCGCCGCACATCAGCTACTGCCAATAGACGTGACAGAATATTCGCGGCACAATGTTCGCTCAGTGTGTTGTAGAGTCGTTTTGTGGCGCTCGAGTTATGTTTAGCGGTATTTTTGAAAATCAACGGGTAGACGGTGCGAGTTTAGCAATGAAAAAAGTCGGCCTTTTTGTTGCCAGAAACTAACGGTCGGTCGGGTTACCTGAACCAATGTTTTTCTTCTTCTTCTTCTTCTTCTTCTTCTTCTTCTTCTTCTTCTTCTGCTGTGTATCTCTATTTGGTGATATAATTCAATCAATAAATCAAGTAAATGTCCGTAATCATTGTAATTACTCAGCTGTCTAATTTGGACACGAGCTCACTCGCGGTGGATATGAGATACAAAACCTTATTCAACAATACATACAAGAAAAAAAAATATTTTGACTGAGTCTGAGAAATAGATTTAAACTTTCCACTACATCGCGAACCGAAGAGTGGTCTTTAAAAACAATATAGTGGAGAGTAGTTGGGTATGGAGGAACCTGGGAAGAATTCGCAAGTTTCCCCTTTATAACAAACGCGAGGCCGTCCAAGCCGTTAGATGACGGTTTCCCGGAAGCTGGGGAGGGGGCAAGATGCTGTGGCAAATTGGTTTTAGTATTTTTATGTGGTATCAATTATAATTATTATATTATGAAGTTTTATCCTCGTTTTCTTACATATCCGCATAGGAGAACTAACCTTATGGAGATTATATACTAGTCTGTTTTTACCTTTATAATGTGATTTTAACAATTCTCATTCGCTTTAATGTTTCTTTTTCAAACAAGGCTTTCCTTTAAAGGGAATAATGATTTTCTAAAGAGGGAAAGACATCTTGACAGGAATGCCACCTCTCCTTGTCTGACCTGAGATTCCCCTCATTTTGTGAACATGCTTTCTGGGGAGGGTTACATATAGGTCCCGAAAGGCCAGGTCAAGGGGGGAAGAGCATCTTTCAACCGGGAGGCTCGGTCTTTGGTCTCACGGGTACGAGCTAAGGGGCGTGAAGATGACATTTTTTTTACTTTTCTTAATCTTTTAATGAGGTGGTGTGCTATTTTTACCTCCGCCAAGGAGGTTATGTTTTTGACGGCGTTGGTTTGTTGGTTTGTTAGCAGTGCTGGCCGGATTTCATCGAAATTTTGGTCAAGTCAGAAAGGGACTAACTTAGAACTGATTGAATTTTGGTGACATTCCGAATTACCGACTGGTTATTATTATTATCATTATTTGTTTAATCAATAAATTTACTATCCAAGTTCAGCACACAAATCTACGGTAAACGTGTGCCACATTTCACCATCTCCCATTGTTATTGTCATTATGTTTTTGACGGCGTTGGTTTGTTGGTTTGTTAGCAGCGTAGCTCAAAAAGTGCAGGCCGGATTTCATCGAAATTTTGTGGACAAGTCAGAAAGGGACTAACTTTGAACTGAGCCGGATTCATCGAAATTTTGTGGACAAGTCAGAAAGGGACTAACTTTGAACTGATTAAATTTTGGTGACATTCCGAATTACCGTCTGGACGCAGCAGCGGTGTAAGTACATTATATACGCACCTTGGCGGAGGTCTGCACTCTCTGAGTGCTATTTTAGTTCGAGATGTTTTTTTGTGTATCTCTTGCATATTGCATTTTTACACTTCCGTCCAGTTTCGTGTTTCGTGGTGACATTTTAATGTTCAGAGTTAGTTTTATTTTTGTTTTTGTATTTCTCTGTGGATTTTGGATACTGGAGGATTGTTCTTTTCTTAATTTTAGTAATTTCTTGTGATTTTTTTTTTTTTTTTCTTCGTGTTGGTTTTGCTTTAATAAACTTTTGTAACGATTTGATTTCTTGTGTTTAAGAGATCCCATTATGCATCCCCTCAGGTTTCAAGGGTTGATTAAGATTGAAAGTAAATTCAATTAGGAAGTGCCTGAATTTTCGCATCTTGCACTAAAGAACACTAAATACAGAGTGAAGATATAAAGCATAAGAGGAAGAATTTACGGGACGTGATAGGAAAGGTAGTGCCCGAGGATGGAGGTTTAACGCAAACAGTGGGATTACTTTCCAAGACTTTTAAGATGGTCAAAAGTTCAATTCCATAAATTTGCACCTTCAGGTCGCCACGCACTCAATTTCGGACATAACCACGCTAACCGCATTTTTTTTGCAAAAACATATATGTGCCGGGACCTTCTTCAGCCACCAGCACTATAGTATTTCTGAGTCGAAATGGAACACATCTTAGATGGCCGCTTCCATTTCGGCGGGCGAGGGTATATCGCACTAACTAGTTGGTTGTATACAAATATGTGTGTATATATATATGTATGTATGCATATATGTATATATATATATATATATATATATATATATATATATATATGTATATGTATATATATATGTATATGTATATATAATGTATATGTATATATATATGTGTGTGTGTGTGTGTGTGTGTGTGTGTGTGTGTGTGTGTGTGTGTGTGTGTGTGTGTGTGTGTGTGTGTGTGTGTGTGTATTTGTGCATGTATATATGAATATATATGCATATATACATATATATATAAATATATATATATTTATATGTGTGTAAATATATATATATATATATATATATATATATATATATATATATATATATATTTATATATATATGTGTGTGTAAATATATATATATATATATATATATATATATATATATATATATATATATTAGGCTGGTAGGTAGCAGTAGGTCAGTAGGGTTTTATTGTCTTGCAGTTAACGGTTAAGGGAAAGGTGAATACAGTTCCATCAACTTCTCTGCCACGAAACTGCTAGCTAAGTCCAATTGCAGCGGCCTCCTCCACTGTCAGCGCCCCCCCGGTGTCATCGAAGTTGCCTGGACTCTACTCATATCCTATGGCCATTGCAAATTAATTAGTTATTGGTCCTAATGTAAATTATAGCACAATAATCATCTAATATTTATTACTTGAACCAACACTTTAAACAAAAGACAAAAAGTAAGCACAATAATTCTTGGGTAAAGTTCCAAATCAATAAGAATACCAACGAAGTTGATTATAACAGTCCAGAACATACATGGAAAAATGTGTGTAAAAGATACAACAATGAACAACAAAACCCCAAAGATAAAAGATGAAATTATGTAACCCTGAGTTTCGAGGAGTAACCGGTCTTCTCGAGCCACTGCATTATGACGTCATAGTTGGCGTCCATCCAGGCGATGTTGTTTCTAATTTTCTCTTCGACTTGCTGGACGTTCCTCTCGTTCCCTTCCAAAGACACCTTCCTCCTCCTCAAAAACGACTGGACCTAGAGAGTTGTGTTATGATGCATGGTTAAGAAACTACGGTTTCATTCCTACGATGCGGAAGATGAATTTGTACCGATATTAAATTAATGGTGTAAATTTGATAGTTTTTTGAAGCTACAGTGCTAATAAGTTGTTGACTGAGGTTTCTTCATATGAAGAATTCATTCGTACATTTTAACAGCTTCCATCAAATGTTGTTTGTGGGCATTTTAATTTTGATTATGCTTTAAATAGTCATCCCTTTTCATACCTCAGACTCTCGATACATGCTGTACATAAATTTTCATATCAAAATGGCCGAACTTACTTCTTGAAGTTGCTCCTTTGTATTGAAGCTGTATGTTATGCTCTTCATTAATTCTCCTCTCCTCCTCTTCTTGCTGTGACATTTAAAAAGTAATTCATTATGTGCTAAGGAAACAGTGACAGTTTTGGTAGAAATAGGATTCGCTTATCCGCGAGGATCTGTATGTAATTTTGCGATGCATTATTTATTACTAAATTAAGTATTTATGATTTTATTATATCTCACTTTATCATACATATCCACAGTTTATTATATCATTAGCCTATACTTTGTTTAGATTGCAATGCTCGAGAAGATAGAATAGGACTTACAATGAGTAGATATCGTTCCAGTTACGAGTTAAGTAGTTCCATACCAAGGAGCGTCCCACATCATTGAAACTGATGCTACGTAATACACCACCAATATCTTGTAGTCTTATGCCACTGACTGGGTTAATGGTCATCTCAAGGTACCTGAAAAAGTACATTGGAATAACATGGCCAAAATAAAGAGAGAGAAAAAACAGCAAAAGAAATAAAACCAAATAAAACAAAATTCAAAAATACATATATATATATATAAATATATATATATATATATATATATATATATATATATATATATATATATCTGTTTTTCTTGCTGTCAGTCTCGCATTTGTCTCTGATTTCCTAACTCACTCTCTCTCTCTCAGATATGAAACTTACCTAGACAGGATCCAGGCTTCTCTAGTGCAAGCCATAGCAGCGAGAAGGAGAGTTTTCTCACTGGCGACGTTGGTCCTCAGGTATTGGTCCCACGCGAAGTCCCACTCGGCCTCCCCGCCCTCATCTATGGCGCGGCAATACACCGTCCATTTGAGGTTTGGTGAAATAAGGCTGAAATGGTAATAACTATAAATTTAAGCAACCAAACTAGAACTAGTACTTCTAAGGATGATGTTAAAAACACTGCCAAAGACAATGGTAATGACATTAACACCAAAAAGGCAGAGTATTAAATGCATTCTGTACAGCTGAGTGCAAATGAAAAGTCAACATCATTATTGCCGGTGTTATCTGTTTTTGGTAACACTGTGATAGGGGTTGTGCTGAAGATTAAATGGAATTCTGTTAATAATTTGAGAATTAGTTAAAATAGTTCAGTATAAATAGTAACTGTGCAAAGGAAAAAATGTTACATTTATGGAATAACTGTCGAGTCTTGTGACCTCTACATAATCCTCTTCAAGGTGTCTATAGTATAGAATACAATTCAGACCTTGATACCATCAGTTCATTTTTACGAACCAATATTGTAAATGGATAGTGTGACGATCTTATTTATTGCAGTATTGCCACTCTAGTTAAAGTAACGGCAAAATATTTATTTTAGTGTGCCCAAACTTGTTGGCGTCCATCTGTCTCAAAGGCAATGGAGTTCTGCGCCTCGGATCAGTCTTTTGTCCAGTTGCAGCGCCTGCTGTGACTGTACAGGCCTATCCTGGATCGGCAGGCTCCGTTGTAATTGCCACAAGTGTGGGTGGCGTCAGGTTCCGAGGGCACTGATGCTGCCCTCTGTCGTCTGTGCTCTCTCCTCTCTTCCCTCTGTTGGTCTCCTCTCCTCACTCCTTTTTGTGCAGGCTTTCTCTGCACTTCTTCAGCCACCGACTCCCAGCTTGCTGGGTCGATGTCGCCTGCCCTCATGTCTCGCTTACAGACCTCCTTGAAGCGTAGGCCAGGTCTTCCTGTAGGTCTGGAGCCAGTGGCGAGCTCGCCAAACAGAATGTCCTTGGGGATCCTCCCATCGTCCATTCTCCTGACGTGGCCGACCCACCGGAGCCGACGCTGGGTGAGCAAGGCGAACATGCTTGGGATGTCTGTCCGAACAAGTACGTTCTTGTTTGAGACACGGTCCTGCTAGGTGATTCCTAAGATCTTGAGGTTGCGCAGGTGGAAGGTGTTGAGCCTGCACTCTTGGCGGGAGTAGAGGGTCCAAGACTCGCTGCCGTAGAGCAGTATGCTGAGCACGCAGGCTTGGTACACCTTCATTTTGGTGTTGGTGGTCAGCTTATTGTTGTCCCAGACCCTCTTTGCCTCTTTGCCGTGGCAGTTGACGCCTTGCCGATGCACTTGTTGAGTTCGGCGTCCAGGGAGAGGTTGCTGGAGATGGTGGAGCCGAGGTACGTAAAGTCTTCGACGACCTCGAGGGTGTAATCGCCAATGGTGATGCTTGGGGTACTGCTCACATCTTGGCCCAGGATTCTTTAGGCTGATGGTCAAGCCAAACTCTCTGCATGCATGCGTGAAGCAGTTGATGAGTCGCTGCAATGCTTCTTCAGAGTGTGCTGTCAGTGCTGCCTCATGAGCAAAGAGCATCTCTCATATGAGTGCCTGGCGTCACTTTGGTGCTGCCGTCACTTCTGGTGTGAAGGTACACTCCGTCCTCTGACTGGCTGAAGGTGTAGGACAGCAGCGGAGAGAAGAAAATTCCGAAGAGTGTCGGAGCGAGTACATACCCGTTTCACCCCGCTCTTGATTGGAAATGGGTCCAAGGAGGAGCCATCATACTGTACGGTGCCCTGAATGTCTTCATGAAAAGATGTGATCATCCTCAGCAGCTTGGGGGAGTGGGGCATCTAATCTTCTGCAGCAGAGTGAAAAGGCCGTTTCTGCTCACGAGGTCGAAGGCCTTGGCCAGGTAAATAAATGCGATCTACAGCAGTCGCCTCTGTTCGTAGCACTTCTCCTGGAGCTGTCATAGGGAGAAGATCATGTCGATGGTTGATCTTCCCACCCTAAACCCACACTGTGCCTCAGGGTATATGCGCTCGGCGAGTAACTGCAGTCTGTTGAGGACTACACGGGCGAAGGCTTTCCCAACAAGGCTGAGGAGGGATATTCCACGGTAATTGTTACAGTCGCTGCGGTCGCCCTTGTTCTTGTACAGAGTGACGATGTTGGCGTCATGCATCTCTTGGGGCACTGTTCCTTCTTCACAGCTCTGCTGCAGATGGTGAAGGAAAGCAGTTTTCTTTCCCACCTTGATGACTTCAGGTGGGATGCCATCTTTTCCTGGAGCTTTGCCACAGGCTAGGGAGTCGATGGCCTTGCTCAGTTCATGCATGGAGAGTGGAGCATCAAACTCCTCCATGACAGGCAGGCTGGCGTTGTTCTCGGCAGCTGCGGCTGTGACTACATTCTCTCTTGAGTAGAGCTCCTGGTACTGTTCTGCCCACCTCTCCATCTGCTTGTTGCGGTCTGTTATGATGTCGCCGGCAGTTGATTTCAGGGCCGAAAGCCTTCTTCATGCCTTTGTACATGTCATGAATGTTGCCATAGTCAGCGGAGAGCTGGATACTCTCACAGAGGTTCAACCAGTAATCATTGGCGCAGCGACGAGCAATCTGTTAGGCGTCGTTTCTGGCCTCCCTGAGTGCAGTGACTTCACGGAAGGCTCCCTCTTGTGATTGATGAGGGCTGCTCTCTTAGCCTCAATTGCTGGCTCTAGTTCAGTTGGCGAAGTGCTCGCACAGGTCTGGGATTGCCGTCTTTCTGGTGTTAATGCGGGGGCAATCTTTCTGCTTGGATCGGTGGCTCTGCTTGGGTTGGAGACTGACTTTACTGACTACCATGGAGTGGTCAGTGTCACAGTCAGCACTGTGATAGCTGCGTGTGCTGAGAAAGCAGTTCAGTGAAGGTCTCCGAGTGATGACGAGATCTGGGATGCCGCCAGGATACTCAGTGATGCAGCTTGGTGGCAAAGAACATGTTGGTTATGCAGAGGTCGTGGTAGGAGCACAACTCAAGAAGCCTCTATCCATTCTCGTTCATCTTGCCGATGCCGAAGTGACCGATGCAGCTGGGCCAGGAGTCACGGTCGGAACCCACATTGGCATTGAAGTCGCCAAGCAGGTATAGTTGTTCCGTGGCAGGGATGTCTCTGATGATGGTTTCAAGCTCCTCGTAGAACTGGTCCTTGGTATTGGTTGAGGAGCAGAGTGTGGGAGCGTAGATGCTCAAGATGTTCACTGGGCCTGAGAATGTTGACAGGCGGAGAGACAGGATGCGAGTGGTACCACTGGATGGCGGCTCTACAGTGGACAACAAAGAATTCTTCCCTGCGAATCCAACGCCATTTACTCTGGTTCCTCGGGTTTCTCTCCCTGCCAGAAGAACATGTAGTTTTGTTCTCTGAGGCTGCCGTTTGCTGCAAGTCTAGTTTCCTGCAGTGCAGCGACATCGATGTTCAGCCTTGTGGGCTCACGGTCAATGATGGCTATTTTTCTTGAGTCATTGACCTGTTGTAGGTCTTTGGAGAGGCCAGGACACATTGTCCTGACATTCCAGCTGGCTAATTGCAAGATTGGTGGTCTTCTTTTTCGTCTGTCTTTGCCTGGTGCAGGGTTTGCAGTCTGCTTGTCGGTCTTTTCCCTAGCTCCAAGCACCCATTGAAGCAGGCAGACTGTGGCGGGTCAGCACCTTACTGGGGACTGCCTATCCTGAGGTGGGTGGTAGCTGACCAGTGGGGCTGCGATGGTCCCTCCCACCGTCAGAGACAACCCGTAGCGCCTGGACCTACACCTACAAGCGCAGGCTTGGGCGAAGTGTATGGAGATCCTGGGATGCCCAGTCATCAGACTCCCCCTCTCGGCCTCGCTGGTGTAGTCCAAATGAGAGCAGAGCAATACATTGGGCACCAGCTTGGCTGCAGGAGCTGTCGGAAGGGATTCGTGGCTGATGTCCAACTGCTTTAGGGGCTCCGTTCCGGATTTAGTTTCTGGGTTTACTCCCGTAGCCTTCTCTCCTCCCGAAGATACCCACAAGGCAGTGGGGCCATAATCCAATGGCTGGGTTACACGTTGCCGTTGAAGTTCTTGGAACCCTTCTGCCATGGCCGGTGACCTGCGTCAAGGAGGTCCATACGCCCATACGGTTTGCCGGGGCATGGCGCTTGGAGCCACATGTGAGAGATTAGGGGGATGGGTGAGGACCAGTGATGCCCGTTCACCCTACCTGGTAGGATGCAGCATGCTGAACATCAAAGGTACATCAAACCTCTACCCAAATGTGAATACACCTCTACCCAGGGCCCCCTACAACCTCTGATAATAATAATGCCTACAACAAGCCTGACATTGTGCCTTACCGTCTCCTTCCTACGCCCTTGGAATTACCAACCCCTTCCTCCCCAAACTTGAATATTCACGTGAAATACTACTAAACATGCTTCAGCATGCCTGTGTAAGTCCTCATTTTCGAGAAAAAAAATATCCGCAAACTAAACTTAATAATAATAATAATAATAATAACAATAACAATAATAATAATTATAACAATGATAATAATAATAAGTAGTAGTAGTAGTACTAGTAGCAGTAGTAGCAGTGGTAGTAATAGAATAAGGATTACAAGATCATTGATATTGTGCAAAATCTTGATATTGAAATATTGTGATAATATTAAGTCTCATAATATCATAAGTAACATATGTGATCATTATAACAAGTATTTTCATAATTATGATTTTGAGAATATAACATTTTGAATTCCATTCTTCTAAAAATCTGAATAAATGTATGTAGTGATAGGGGAGGGAGGTTGGGAGAGAGCTCGTAGTTGTGAAGTAAAAGCACTAACATGGTTTATTACAAATAATCAGGTAATAGATCTAGTTACCACAAAAATCACCTGAATAAACAATTGCTTTTAACAATACCTCAGTTGTTTTAAGAAAATTTTTGGGACATTTGTCTTGAATGCAAGTGCCAAAAGGGTGCAAGACCTTAATATCATTTTGAAGAATGTTACATTTCCCTTCTATATCTATTTACTCCCTAGAAGCATGCTGGTTGGGTTCTCGTGTTAACCCATTGCCGCCGGGGATTGCATGTGCGTACATGCCATGCCCACTGTGAGTCGACTTGTTTGATTGTTTTTACACATAGATGGCTACACTTGTACTAAGTCACCAGTGAGCCAGCTAAGACTACTGCCTGTCTCGCCTGTTCACCCTTTTCATCGATTTACGAAAATATTTAACGTTATCCTAATTTGCTGTAAAAAATATCACCATTTATATTTATAGTACTAGTTTCTTCCCGCCAATTCAAGGAAAGGTGAAATCAGGACTAGCAGAGCCATCTATGTACAGACATATTTCACAAAAATTAAAAAAAAAAAAAAAACAGCATTTTCCCCATTTTTGGTTCATTTTCCCCGGTGGCAATGGGTTAAGTTTCACGATGCCCACTTGTTGATAAATTTTTATTTTACGCAATCATCCTGTGTTTACTGTAAGTTGCAGGACAGTTACGGATCTTGGCTATTATGGGGCGAGATGCACAGAAAACCTCCAAGGTAATTTGCCGCCAATGGTGTTAATGTTTCATGTGTGCCAGACTGTATATTACATCTGTTGAATATACTTACACCTACCTTGTGTTGTCTGGATTTGCCATCCACTGCCTGTAGAGAGTGAGCGCCTTGTCGAGACAGTCCTTGTGGCCCAGTTTGCAAGCCCAGTTCACAGCTATCTTCCTCTTCTTTTGCTCTAAGTAAGGGTCATCTATCTTGTCATCGAACCCAACAGCTTCATAGAGAGGCGACACTAAATTCAGGAGGTAGCGCTGTGAAACATTGAATATTGTAGAGCTGTACAGTATATATATATATATATATATATATATATATATATATATGTGTG